TCCAAATCTCAATCTAGAATCTAATCTCTCTTGATTAAACTCTCTGACCTAAAAAGAAGATCTTTAGAAACCCTAAAACAATCCCTTATATAGGTGTACAAACATGGATGGCAGTTTGGTAAATAACCAGACCCAAAACCAACAGGAAAACGCGTGAACAGAATCCCAAACGAATCAGTCGTGTGAACAGAATCCCAAACGAACCAGGAAACCCTCGATGAGTCGACTCATGACTGAGATGAGTCGACTCGACAGAAACTGGACAAAACTTAACAACCAGCGATGAGTCGACTTATGACAGTCATGAGTCGACTCAACCTGATGAGTCGACTCATAACAGTCATGAGTCGACTCACAGGCTGAAAATTGGGTACTTCGATTCTTCTGCTCGTCGTCTTGTTCCACGCTTCCTCCTGTGTTCCCTTATACTGTTTGACACCCCCTATTCTCATGCTAGTATGAGAATCATCTATCCTCAAGCTCCCATGAGGATCGCTAAGTTTCGAAGAGAAGATACACATGTATCATGTGTCCCCTCTTTAAGAACTTGAAGTCCCATTCAAGTTAGAACTTTTGCTGAGCAAACTCTCGAGCTCCTCCATCTTTTCTGCACCACCTGGCCTTGCTAGGAATCCGGTCTCGACGTCCGATCGGAAACAACTCATTCGTCCCGCGTCTCGTCATAGTCACCGCTCGCTCTAAGTTGCAATCCTTTGTCGATGGCTTTTCTGGAAGTCTAATGCACAGCGAGACAAACTTCTTGCTTGCATTCACTAACCTCTTCGCTCGCGTCACCATTGCCAAGCTTGTCTCCCTCGGAAGAGATGCCGAACGAAATATGAACTTTACACCATCCTTAGTGAAGGTGTACTTCTGAATCCGCCTCTCGTAGATCGCATATCTATCCCATAAGTACGGATTGCCCAGTATAATCTGACAAACATCCAATGGAACTACGTCGCATGTGACCTCGTCAATATACGACTCATGGAGCGCAAATCTTACAGTGCATTGATCAACTACACATAGCTTCTCCTCCTTCTGAATCCATCCCAATGGATAGGGCTTCGGATGCTTGACCGTCTTCAGACCCAGCTTCTGAACCAAGGCTTCGGATATCAAATTCTTCTCGCTGCCCGGATCAACTATGGCATCAACCAAACTGGTCTTCACTTGCAACTTAAGAACAAAGAGTTGCTCTCTCGGGTCGTCGTCCTCTTTCGTGGCCTGTTTCCCCGTCATAAGATTGAGACTGCTATTAGGCTCTGTCATCCCCGGGACTTCTTTCGGACCTTGAGCTATCATGTATGCCTTTTTCTCCTCCTTCCTCTTCAACCCTCTTGGTTTCAGATGAGGATACTTCTCCCAGCACCGATCAGCTTCGTGCCCTGTCTTCTCGCAGTGACTACAAATCAGCCCTGCTTTCCCTGGATCACCCTTTTTCTTCTCCTCCTTAGATTGAGAACCACTAGACTCGCCTCCCGTCTGTTTGGAGTCTCCCTTAGCCTCGTTGCCCTTCTTTTGCCTACCCTCAATGGCAATTGCCTTCACGCTCGCCTCTGCAATTGATTCCACCGTGAATAGCCTCATCTCCTTTCGGATGTGATCGCTCAATCCCGCCATATACTTCATAAACACGGAATATTCCTCTGTCGCAATGTTGAGGACCATCGCCTGCTGCTGGAACTCCGTAGTGTATTCTTGAACGATTTGATTGACCCTTTGGCGCAAGCCGTATCACTTGTACCAACGTTCTTCAAGGAATCCCACCGGGTAGAATTGCTTCCTAAGTAGCTCCTTGAACTTGTTCCACGACACCGCCTTCTTCTCCTGCTTGCAGTAGGATTTCCACCACGTCAACGCGTGCCCTGAAAGCTTCAAAGTCGCGAACACAATCTTCTCTTTCGACGAATAGCCATAAAGAGTAAAATACGTCTCGAGTTCCTAAACTTATCAAGAGTTCTGTTCAAACTTGTCATGCAAGTCCTCCTCCACATTAATCAAGATGATACGAGTCGCTGTGCGAGCACCTTTGATCGCGGAATTATCAAAGGTGGGTTGAGGAGAAAATAATAAGAATACAAGAATAACTCAGATTTTGGGCGAAGGAAAATACCTCCTCTAGATTATGAGTATGTAATTTACAATCTCTCACAATCTCACTCTAGAATTGAAGAACAAGCTCTCCAAATCTCAATCTAGAATCTAATCTCTCTTGATTAAACTCTCTGACCTAAAAGATGTTTAGAAACCCTAAAACAATCCCTTATATAGGTGTACAAACGTGGATGGCAATTTGGTAAATAACCAGACCCAAAACCAACAGGAATTCGTGTGAACAGAATCCCAAACGAACCAGGAAACCCTCGATGAGTCGACTCATGACTGAGATGAGTCGACTCGACAGAAACTGGAGAAATCTCAATAACCAGCGATGAGTCGACTCATGACAGTCATGAGTCGACTCAACCTGATGAGTCGACTCATAACAGTCATGAGTCGACTCACAGGCTGAAAACTGGGTACTTCGATTCTTCTGCTCGTCGTCTTGTTCCACGCTTCCTCCTGTGTTCCCTTATACTGTTTGACACCCCCTATTCTCATGCTAGTATGAGAATCATCTATCCTCAAGCTCCCATGAGGATCGCTAAGTTCCGAAGAGAAGATACACCCGTATCACACGAACATAAGCTAATTAAAAACTTAATTTTGTAAATTCAAATAAACATAACAAATTAATTCCAAAATTGATAAAACTTTGGGAAACATTTATAAACATGAAATTGAACATGTTAGAAAAAGAATTTCTCAAATTGAGTTTTCCATTTGTGAAAACTCATGTATTTTGCAAGTGTGTCCAAAACATAAAAATGTGATATACATGAAATTTGATATTTTGACATAAATAATGTTTTGAAACCATATAAAATGATTTTTATAGACTTAATGAAATATGTATACAATAATTGTTAAGTCCATAAACCAAAACTTATGTATATATATAACTATATATATAAAAACCAAATATTGTTAAGTCCATAAACCAAAACTTATGTATATATATAACTATATATATAAAAACCAAATATGTGTGTATATATGATTGAGCTTAAAGTACTAACATATATATATAAAAACCAAATATGTGTGTATATATGATTGAGCTTAAAGTACTAACACACATAATATAAACCTAAACTAATGTTACTCAAGCAATATTGATCTTCAATAAGCTTGACTTGGTACACTTACGGATAAAGCTTGAACTTGTATCTTTAACTTGAATGTACATTGCTTCACTCAACTATTCTGCCAACCTCTATTGGATATGATCGTTGAAGCTCTATTCCATCCATCCTCCAACTCGTTGTTTGCCTAGAATAAATACGAAAACACAAACACTAGACAAACAACATTAAAAGTAAATTGTTTGTTAAACATCATACAAACACTAGACAAACAACATTAAAAGTAAATTGTTTGTTAAACATCATCAAAACAAGAAGGCCAACAGTACTGACTAAAATTAACAGCTACCGGGTATAGTTAACATATACTGGCTAATAGTATTGGCTATAGTTAATAAGTACTGGCTAAAGTTAACATGTGTCAAATATAGTTAACATGTACTAGTCAAAGTTAACGGATATAGAATATAGTTAACATGTACTGGATAAAGTTAATAGGTAGTGGATATAGTTAACATGTACTAGATATGACGACCTAAAATGTAACAAAATGAGATCAATGGACAGTCATCTCAAATGAGTTCTACTTTAATTTTGTTTTATTTATATAGATATAAACAATTTCATGATTTCCGTAATGAGATTAATTTATTTTTAATCATTGAATTCAATACATGCCAAGTTATCTGGTTGAAACAACACAACAAACACATTATGTGCAACTGTAAAAGAACACTATCATAACTCATAAAAACATCTCACATTTATAAAAGTTGTGCTCAACTAGTCCCATTACCAGTTCATCAAATCACTTTAACTTCATCAGATAAATAATTAAAATTTATACTTTTGAGGGCACATCTCATAGCATTTCCTCAAATACTTGGCATGCACATATTTTTAGCCCAAGTAATATCATTTTAACCTATAGACCAACCACCCACCTCACAAGCATTTTAACAAACAATACATATGCCCCAAAATCCTCAGTATCCTCCTTCTTCATTATCCACTAGATCTGAGCCCTAACACTGACATTCATCTCCTAGCCGCCTTCTACGCCTCTTGCAGACCACCCTCCATCACCAAGTCACCTATTGACTTCCTTTACCTCCCCTCACCATGAACCTCATTGGCTTGATGAGCTCGACCTCTCCTTCCTTTTTCCCTACTCCTTATCTATGTTCCTCTCTGTTTATCTCACTGACATCCTCTCCCGCTCCTCCTCGAAGCCTTCTCAACACTTTCCTAAGATGAGGTCGTTGGGCACACTCAAGGTTGGTGGTGACGGAGGGGCAGGCAGTAGAGGCAGACGACGGGGTCAGAAGGGAAGCGTAAGAGTAAGAGGGAGAGTGGAGGAAAGTTAGGGTTAGGAGAGGAGGAAGAAAATATGTTTTGGTTGAACTACTTTTCTTGTAGTGATATATTTCATCATCATGTACGCCTTACAATTTCTTAATTTATAAAAAAAAAATCCTAAAAATTCCAAATGTCCTTTCTATATAATGTTTATTTTCCTATATTTTTCCAGCAATAAAACCATTCAACATGAGTTTTCTAATAAAATAAGTAATCGTTAGGAAAGTATTAAAAAGTATTCAAAAAGTAAAAATACAAATACCATGAGGATCAACAACGTTTCTCATATTTTTATAAGCTGATAATATTGACATCATAAACCAATTGTGCCACAAATACGCCACAAGCAAATAGAGCATTCGTTGTCAACTACGAAAAGCACTCCGGAGAGAATGGAAATAAATCGGGATGGGGGAACTTACCCCCGCCGTACCAGAAACGATCATACCTTACTTCACCTAGGTGTTACGAACTATTAACTAAGCACAATCAAAATATTACTGCAACCTCGTACCCATTCTTACTCCACCTATTAATAGGTATAAGAGCAGGGAACTTCCCAAGAAAAAGTTTTCAGGGATATGTATGGTCATAGTTCACACACTTCAGCAGTAACAAACTCATCCCAGAACAGAAGCTGTTTTCTTGACAACAAAACGACTACAAGAAGTTTTAAAACAAGTGCAAACAAACTCGGTTAACTACAAGGACCCTTTTTTCAACTACAAACATTACCTGCCTGATGTCTCCTAGTGGAATAAATGATCAGTGCATGCCACGGAGAATTCCATGGAAGTAACCGCCGACCATCACAAGCGACACAAGAGACACAACACCTGCTGGGAATATCTTTCCCGATTTCTTGAAGCGGGAGCCCATCACTGCCAGAAGTGCAGCAGACACGCCTGAAACATTGAAGAACCATAACTTGAGATGGCATGAATAGTCCTTTTAAGAGGGTGTTGCATGTAAAAATAATGCCTGTGTTGTAGGAAATTAAACTTCAAATCCGTTGTTTCGCTATCTGTACTTTTGTTGTAGGAAATGTACTTTGTAATGCAAATTTTGGTTAGTTGCAGTGCTTGCTGGAGTTGTATCTTCTATTGCATGAAAAATACTTTTTCTGAAAATCAAGTGATCGTTTAATTGTATTTCTATAATTGTTTTACATTTAATTGGTTGTCGTACTCCACTAACTCGATGACATTACAATAATTTATTAATTTTTTATTTACTATATGAAATCGCAACATTTGGATTAGCTTTTTGTAGAAAATGGAAATCCAACAACCATTTCTAATTATTATGTCACTGACCAGATATTGGAAATAAAAACTTAACAGAAACATTTACCGTTGCAGCTTTATTTCCTAGGAACCAAATAACCTCTGAGGCTTGTAACAAGGAGCAGATTGGAGAAATGAAGGGGAAAGGTACTAGTATTTTTACCTAGCCCGAGTGAAGATGCAAAGCCTGGATTTGTTGGAAGCTGTGTGTACACATAATACAATAGCAGAGATGATACTCCTCCAGCTGCTAAAGACTTCTGGCTACCACTTTTCAGGTAACCCATAACTCCACCCACTGTAAAGGTAGCCACGGAGAAGTTAATTTTGAGAGCACAGGTAGTATTGTATAGTAGGTTATGAGACCTAGAGAAGAATGTTCAATATCAAGACGCTAGCAAATACAAAGTTTAGCTAACATAATACATATATGCTAGAAGGGGTAAAAGAAAATAAAAAGCGGGTCTGAAACACAGTGATCGACTACTTTAGTTGCTAAATTCATCACTTAATCCAAATTAGATGAAAATAATATAAACTCCTGATAACCAATCGAGCTATAAGATATTGATTTATTTAACAGCCTACAATTTTAGAAGTTATCAAAAAATATGCTACTAGTTGGAATCATGATCCTATATCAAAACATGTTTGCAGATGCTACCTTGTATATTCATGAGTCAATGAGACAAGAAATGCCCGAAGTCAATGAAAAAATGCCTGAAAAAAAGAACCAAGGAATCAAGTAGGCTGGCTAGGCTAGTCAGTAGACTTTGAGGCAATCCTTATTCCAAAAATTAGGATATAAATTGATGGAGAACAATCCTAGACCCTCCATGTAATGCGATTAGGATTTATTATAATCTTTCCTTTTTTAGTAGGATTTTATTTTATTCTATGTAATCTTCTTTTCAGTTAGGAGTTCTTTAGGATTTGATTTTGAAACATCTTTCTATTTTAGCTCAGATTTTATTTGATTGCATCTTTTAGTTTTGTTGGGTTTTGATTTGATTTGATTAGGATTTTTATTTACTTCCTTACGTGTTTACCTTACGTGTTTAGTTGCTTTCTTTTCCTACAAATAAACCTCCAAGAGAGATAGACATTGATGAACAAAAATTTGAGTTTGAGAATTCTCTTTTGAGTATGTGAGATGTTCTTTAGCATGTGATTTGCCTTTTTTCCTTTAGGGTGTGAAGCCACTAGGTGTGAGATCTAGTTATTTATCTAAAATTTCTCCACATTCAATCCTAGCCATCCGATTTCAACCACAAACCCAAAAAAAAGTATTGCTCACGGATGAACAGTGTCCACCACAACCTCGAGATCCGACACCATCCACCTCCGATGATGACACAATCCTTCAAATCCGATTGCGTACCACAATGACGACCCCTGTTTGAGTATCGCCATCGCCGACTCTCCTCCGATCGTCCCTTAATGAGTTATGATCCCTCGTAGCCAAAGTCTTACAACACTGCTCTGGAAAGTTATAAACGACTGAAAAATCTACCGTCTCCCTCTTCCAAATCAAGTTTAAATTCGAGCACCACTAAAATTCACAGTGTCGAGAATCTCGTGCTTTCCCATCGGATCCAGGTTGGCGTCGAAGGCAACATTCGGGAGTCATCTACTTTCGGACCGAAGCCCCCGCCCCGACCCCCATCATTTGATGCAGGACAATCGTGGACCCTCCATGTAATGCGATTATGAATCTATGATTTACTAAAATCTTTTCTTTTTTGGTAGGATTTTATTTTGTTCAACGTAATCTTCTTTTAGTTAGGATTTCTTTAGGATTTAATTTTGAAAATCTCTATTTATTTTAGCTAGGATTTTATTTGATTGCATCTTTTAGTTTTGTTAGGTTTTGATTTGATTTGATTAGGATTTTTATTTACTTCCTTGAGTGTTTAGTTGTTTTCTTTTCCTATAAATAAGAGATGTAATCCTCCATGTGAGATGAACATTGATGAATAAAAGGTTGAGCAAGAGAATTCTCCTTTGAACATGTGAGATGTTTTTTGGCATGTGATTTGCCTTTTTTTTCTTTGAAGTGTAAAGCTCCTAGATGTGAGACCCAGTTATTTATCTAAAATTGCTCCACTTTCAATCCTAGTCATACGATCTCAACTACAAACCAAAAAAATTACTGATCACGGATGAACAGAGTCGCCGCAACTCTGAGATCCGACATCATTCACCTCCGATGACGCCACAATCCTTCGAATCCAATTATGTACCCCATGACGATCCCACTTGAGTATCGTCATCGCTGACTCTTCTCTGATTGTCCCTTAATGAGTTATGATCCCTCGCCACCAATGTCTTACAACACGGTTCTGGAAAGTTATAAACGACTGAAAAATCTACAATCTCCCCCCTTCTAGATCACGTTCAAATTCGAGCACCCACGAAAATTCACAGTATCGATCTCATGTTTTTCCATTGGTTCCGGGTTAGCGCTAAAGGCAACACACTCGGAAGCCATCTACTTTCGGATTGGAACCCCCGTCCCAACCCCCATCATTTAGTATCAGAACCGAAGGATCCACAATTATCAGGGGTAAAATGCCACTATCCCCTTCGTAAGGGTATGATTTTAATCCACTTGAATATAATATCCTAGCCTACTTTTATGGATTTGATGGATATGAGGAGCCTTATGGATTTGACGTCTGGATTTTCAATATAGAAGATATATTTTCTATCTATAATATGTCAGAACGAGAAATGTATTTATATGCTGAGTGTAGGCTAAAGAGAAGCAAAATATTAGTGGTATAGAAACTATTATCATTCAAACATCCGTTCGTGGACAACTATAAAAGCTCTTTTGGAGAGGAGGTATTCTAGTCCACCATCTAAAAGATATTGTTTCTCTTCAACTTCTGAAGTAAGGCCAACCATTGTTTTAAATATCCCCGACATGGCCCGATATATCCCCCGATATATCCTTTTACAAGGCTTGCCGCAACCGATATGATCTTTAAATATCCTTTACCGTTTTTTGGCTATTTTAAGTGATAAATCCCCGATATGACCGATATATTAGCCGATATATGAACCAATATATCTTTTTATATAGCTTGTTGTAAAATAATATACCGTGTTTGGAATTTTTGGGCGAGATATCAAGATTTCCTCATGATATCAAATGACATTTTGCCCTAAAAAAACAGATCGAATGTTGCAACGTTGCTTTACACTTTTGTTTATTTTAGAAGGTTGATTAGTGATCCTAAACATATATTATTCATATTTTGTATGCTTAAATTTCATTACATATGTTGAGATTACATTTTAATGCATTATACTATATATGCAAACATTCATTATGGCATTCCGATATTTACCACATATCCCCGATATTTCCCCGATATCCGCAATCCGATATGAAGTTTGGTCATCCGATATTTCCCTGATATCCGATATTTAAAACCTTGAGGCCAACACAAATTCCTCAACCTGGGCTAATGTAGATCTTCAATCAAATTTTAATTTCAATATAGATTTAAAGCCTCAACTTGAGTCAGACGAGAAAGTAGAGCAAAATCAAAATTTTAATCAAGAACCAAAGCCCAAGTCAAAGCATGAGCTAGAATCAGATGTATATCAAAAGATCAATCCAGAGTACGAGCCATAACTATAGCCAGAAAAAGCAAATCAAAAGATATATCCATAGCCCAAAGCGTAAACAAGAGTTAGAAAAGCAGCAGGTCGATCTAACTCTCGAGTTTAAATCGAACCCAGAGCTCAAGTTAAGCATAGAATCCTAACTTAAGTTCGATATGCGGTGCACATTGCAAGATAATCTGGTAATTGAGTTTGTTATTCTAGACCCTTCATCACCAACTCAATATCAGGTTTTACAACTCATCTTAAATATCTTCCAATCTACAACAGAATTCTTCTCACCAATCAAGTCAAACATTACGCTCTTTCGTCATAAAACTCAAGATCGAGTTTCTCAAACAAGAGGAGATTTGATACAGGACAACCGTGGACCCTCCATGTAATACGATTAGGATTTATTAAAATCGTTCCCTTTTTTGTAGTATTTTATTCTATATAATCTTCCTTTTAGTTATGAGTTCTTTAGGATTTGATTTTGAAATCTCTTTCTATGTTAGCTAGAATTTTATTTGATTGCATCTTTTAGTTTTGTTAGGTTATGATTTGATTTAATTTGATTATGATTTATTTACCTCCTTAAGTGTTTAGTTGTTTTCTTTTCCTATAAATACGAGATGTAATCCTCCATGAGAGTAGACATTGATGAATAAAATATTGAGTTTGATAATTCTCTTTTGAGCATGTGAGGTGTTCTTTGGCATGTGATTTGCCTTGTTTTCTTTAGGGTGTGAAGCCCCTAGGTATGAGACCTAGTTATTTATCTAATATTTCTCCACTTTTAATCCTAGTCATCTGATCTCTATCACATACTCAAAAAGGTTACTGTTTATGGATGAATAGTATATGTCGCAACTTTGAGATCCGACATTATTCGTCTCTGATGATGCCACAATCCTTCAAATCCGATTGCATACCTCAACGACGACCCCCGCTTGAGTACCGCCATCGCCGACTCTCCTCCGATCGTTTCTTAATGAGTTATGATCCCTTGCGGTCAATGTCTTACACAAGGTTGCTGATAGCGGATCGCGGCGCGTCGCGGCGAGATACCGCTACGGCTATATCGGGCTATTGCGGCGAAATCACGACAAATAGCGCACAGTCAAATAGCGGTCAAATTTAAATATATTTAAATATCCTAAATAATAAGAAAATTCATAAAAAAATCTAAAAATTTAATTAGTTGTAAATTTCTTGTATTATCAGTAAATAACAATTAGTAGGCTTGTTGTATGAATGAAACTATGAAGAAATTCAAGAAATATAGCATCATAATATGTGTGATAGCAGCTTTAGCCGCTTTTAACCGCAAAAATCCGCTTTAAACCGCGAAAATCCGCTTTTAACCGTGAAAACCCGCTTTTAACCCGCTAAAATCCGCTTTTACGCGCTATTCAAATGAATAGCGGATTTTCCCGCTTAAGCCAGCCGCGAAACCCCTACGCGTAGCACTGAAGGGCCGCGACCGCTATTCGCGCCGCTATAGCCCCGCTATTGGCCGCTATTTACAACACTGGTCTTACAACATGGCTCTGAAAAGTTATAGACCCCCCCTTCCAAATCATGTTCAAATTCAAACACCCACCAACATTACAAGTATCAAGAATCTCGTGCTTTCCTATCGGATACGGGTTCGCGCCGAAGGCAATACAGTCGGGAACCATCTAGTTTTGGATTGGAGCCCCCGCCCCAACCCCCATCACAAATCCTATTTTAAATGTTCACAACAGCAGAATTGTTATAACTTATAAAAGGGTATTTAGACAAATAAACTAAAACTAGAGGAGTTAAGAGAGGAGTTAAGTATGGATACAAGCTTCTAGGTCAAAGTGATCTCAATAGAATGTTTCCAGTCTTCATAACCATTGCTACTCTGGATTTGGATTTGGCTTGAGGTGCATGTTAAATTTTCTAGGCTCCACCACAAATAGACCACCGAGCCATTGAAAAACAAGATCATTGTGGAAGTAACTTTTCTAAGCTGCACCACATATAAATCACCGATCTAAAAAAAGCAAGCTCATTGTGGAATTCAATCTCTATGCAAAGGCCTCAGGAGCGAGGGTGGGAGGGAGGGAAGGAGAGCCTTTTAAGCTAAGTTGCACGAATATATGGACATGACAAGACTTTTAAGCTATGTTGCACGAATATATGAACATGACATGACACGTTCAGAATACATTACACACCAAACAGATATATCATGTCCTGTTCATGTGTCGAACACGTGTCTGAAATGGCACGAGTTTATTGTTTAAAACTTCCCATTGTTCAAGCACCAACTACCACGTGAAATATGTTAATCTTTAGTTCTGACAATATCCCAAGGTTAACTATTTATTTGTCATGATTCAATGTTGCATTATTGCACTATTTAGTGCATTTACTTAATGAAAGCTTTGGCTTGAATAGGTTGGAATCAAATTGAATATTGATATGCTCACACCTGTATTTTTTATAAGACTTTCAAATACAAATCCAAACTTCTCCCAGTCTAAACTTTTTTCAATGTTCTAGAACACTAAATATTTACTTGATTAATTATTATATGATAGAATCGTGTTCACATGTGCCCGTACAATTAACTTAGTTTGATTACTAACAAACCTTCATATTGGTCTAATATGTGATTGAGATGTTGTGTACTGAATACAAGAAGTTAAAATCAAGTTCAGATATGAAAAAAGCAAGAAACAAGTCACAATCAGCAAAACAGGGCATTACTCATCAATGAAGGGTCAGACTCATCGATAAGCATGAGGTCATCGATGACGAGGTCAAGCTCATCGATGAGAATGAGGTCGACATAAAGCAAAAAATCGATTATGGGGTCCACTCATCGATAAAGACTTGGGCTCATCGATGAATTTGGAGTTGAGCTCATGGATGAGCCTACCTGCTCATCAATAAGCAACGTCAAATTTTTAGAATTCTATTCTGATTTGAATTCGATCTAACTGTTCGTTGCTAAGGCTATATAGACTTTCCTCTTAATTTTTATTAAGATTTCTAACCTAATTCACAGAGAAAGAGAGAGAGAGAGAGAGAGAGCTAGGATTTTATCTTTGGTAAAAATTCTTGCTCAGACTTCTCAATATGCATCCTTTACGTTATTCTTCATCATCTCATCATTAATCTTCAAATAGTGCTGCCCTTGGACTTCAACATCATCACTGTTCTTCCAAAGCTTCGCCTATATCATCAAGGAGAACGGTTTGTAAAGTTGAAAGGGCTGTAAGATTGTTTTTAGTTGGGTTTAACGATATTGTTCTTGTTAAAAACTCTTTTATTACAATATTGTGATTGGTTTGTGACGGCCTACTCAAGCGGGGGTTGTCTGAGATTTTGATTACTAGCTCACTTTGAGAGTATGTTAGACGACTAGTTTTAGATAAACTAGAGTTTTGATCATGTAAGCCTACTAAATCGAGTTTGTGATTCGGTAAATTTTCATCATCATGAGGAAGCCCCTTCACAGGAATGAAGAGTGGATGTAGGATAGTTTTATCCGAACCACTATGAAATTCTTTTGTGTTCTTGGTGGTTGTTACTTGCTTACTTTTATTTATATCTATTTTATTTCCTCTACATATTCTGTTCTTAGATTCCTACCATTATATTGTTTAGGATTACAAAATTATTTCATTAAAAACATACTCCCATATCATCGAAGCATTTGATTTTTCTAACAATATTTAGATCCATATTTGAAAATATTCCTTTATAATATGACCTATAAATCGACATAATTTGCATCCAAATGGACCAAATCATTAGTAGCCAAGTTTTTGTATGTTTGTCTTTTAAGATGGTATCTTACTGTTACATTCACTTAATCTAAAGCCATTTTCCCTTGTCGAAACTCTAGGATGCTCCTCCTATTTAGACCTACTGTAAATAGGCTCATTGGTCTCTTTTCACAGATATGGTTGTTTGAAAGCTTGCTCTAACTCATCAAATAAACAAGAAACCATGTTGGAACAAAGCTCTAAACTCGCACAAAACATTGACTAGGCATGAACATGATAATCCGTAAAGTTGGCTACCTAGAATCTTTTCATGATCTCGATGGCAACCAAATCAAAAAGCCAAGGACATATTGTGACATTCTATTGCCATGGAAAATGTGAACCAGAAAAATGGTTACCAACTAAATGCCATCATGTGTAACGTCATATCTGAATCTTCGATTTATCTCCTATGACCCCATGTCTAACGTCATATCTAAATCTAACATCATATCTGAATCTTCAAGTTTTATCCTATGGCCCCATGTCAAATAGAGTTTGCAGTACAAGCTATCACAACAAATAATCCAACACTCTAAACCAACTCGAACACCGCCATCCAGATGGTGAACAATTGCTTTGTTGTACTTAATGAATAGTCAACAAGTCATCTATTTGGAAATAAAAAAAGATTCAATTTTCAAGTATAAAAATAGAATTCAATTTGATCATAATATGGGTATTGGCAATTCGAAATTACAACAGAAGCATCATTCTTCTAATAAACCAATTTTATAGATTGCTAGGATGCTGACAATGTGAATAGCAAAACATCATGGAATTTAGCGTAACAACTAAAAATAAGGTTAATTAGATCATTAGCCACTATATTATCTCCTAATTAGACCTTCATACCTATGTTTTAATTGCTTGGATGATCAGTCATGTAATTAAATCCTAATTGGATTGCTAGTCACTTCTAATGCTTTTCGTCAATTAACAAACAGATTTCAGCAACGTGATATAAAAAGAAGTTTTGATGATTGACATAACAGATTTATTCCTAAGTGTAATATCTTGATCACGTACATAAATGAAAATCTGTGACACGTTGGACAACTTGTATTGGGTAGTTAAATTGCATTTGGTAATTTGTTCTTGGAAATAATAACTTGTGTATTGCTTAAAAATGAATGAAATGTACAACATAAATTGACCAAAGATGTTAGAAGTGAGTAAAAATCCAATTAGTATCTAATTACATGACCGACCATATGAGCAATTTAAACGTAGGTATGAAGATCCAATTAGGAGATAAATACAACCACCAAGAATCCAATTAATCTGCTAAAAAATATACGCAATGAACCTGAATCGAGGAACAAGGATCATGTAGCCAACTCCAAAAATCCAGGATAAGGGCTTTTGTTCTTATTATTGGAGCTCAAAATATGAACAAATGTGCTCAAAATATGAACAGATGTATTCTGCCTACTCCAGTCTCCTTCACCAAATTCTCATATGAATTATTGAACAAGCCTTCTTCCTCAAACTGTATATTCTTACATATTATCGAGCTTTAATTCTATTTAAATTCGGTTAACATTCTAATACCAGCATTTTTTTTTCTTTACTTATGGGAGTGCCTATAATTCGACAAGATGCTTGATCCACAAAACGATCAATCACAGAAAAATCATAAAATTCGACAGTTAAGCATTTAATTACATGACCGGCCATCCGCGCAAATAAAACATAGGTATGAAGGTCCAATTAGGAGATAAATACAAATGACTGAGAATCCAATTAATCAGCTAAAAGTATACGGAATGAAACTGAATCGACAAACGGGGATCATGTAGCCAATCCCAAAAATTCAGGATAAAGGCACTTTTCCCTGTTATTGGAGCTCAAGATAGGAAAAAAACGTATTCTGCCTGCTCCAGTATCCTTCACCAAATTCTCGTATGAATTATTGAACAAGTCTTCCTCCTCAAACTGTATATTCTTACATAATATCGAAATTTTAATCCCATTTGAATTCAGTTAACGTTCCAATACAGGCTTTTTTTTACTTATGCGAGTGCCAATTATTCGACCAGATGCTTGATCCGCAGAACAACCAATCCACACAAAAATCATAAAATTCGACAATTAAGCCTACAAAACCTAACATTTCAACCAAATAAAAGGAATCATAAACCAAGTCAGAGTTCGATCAAGTCACCGGCGGTGAGATTACCTCCAACGAGCGCGGCGTAGCCTAGCGTCAACTTCTGAGACATCGACATCCCACTCATCTTCTTCTTCTTATCACTCTCCTCTTCTCCTCCTCCGCTGCTATCGTCACCCCTTCAGCTGCCCTCCACCACACCGTTGCGCGAGCGAATCCGCTTCTCCTTATGCGCTCCGATCCGCTCCCGATGGGTTTCTGCGTCGATTTTTCTCCGGCGAGTAGCCGGCGATGAGGCGGATTGTCGTTAGGGAGGGGGGGAGGCGGAGGGAGAGGGAGAAGAGGTTCTTGCGGAGGTGAGAGGAGTGAAGATTGGGCGTAATAGGGAGTGGTATAACAGTTGCGGAAGCACGGTGAGGCCATTTGTTTCCGTTGAAGCATGGTGGGTTTTTTGAATCGGGCTTAAAAGAGTAGACGGTGGTGTAATGTGTCGGGTTCAGGTTAAAAGGTGCGGGTTATCAGGTGTCTCAAGGAAAATGCGTGAAGTTATCATCACGGTGAAGTCACTGTTCTCAATTTTCTTTTAGTTACATCTCCAAAAAAACATAAATAATAAATAAAAATTAGTCTCTACTCAACGGAATCTGTGTGCAGTTTGTATAGAGTAAATTCTTGCCGTGTATAGTTACAACCTTATAATATGATGAAAATACGAGGAGGACCGTGGGCGTCTAAGCTAAGTTTTATCCTGATGCACCTCGAGTAGCCTCAAATGCACTCAAATAATAACCCCCCCCCCCGCCCCCCACCAAAAAAAAGACTATATATGGTGATTATGAACTCTTCGTCAATTGAATCTCATAGGATGTCAGCCAAATAAAGGAAAGACTGAACGGCAACTAATGTAAGTCTACTTTCAGCAAATATCGTGCTTAATAAGATCTAATGTGAAAAAAAAACAAGAGATATGTATCGTAGTGTGATATTATGGTAATATGCTTGCATGTCAGAATATTTATTTATTGATATGATGGTCAAAACGTTTCCATTTTGTATGATTATCAAGTCGGTATATGTGTTTGGCTACACACGGCGAGACATTCACTTTCATGATCTGTATATACATATTCTGTTCGATTTGGGGGTGACCACATCTTCCAGCCGGCGAGGGAGGAGGTCCGACGAGGCTCGAGTGATCGATCGCGAAGTGCGACAGGGAAGCCCAGGCGAGATCGAGCCGAGTCGAAGCTCGAACTCGAGCGGACCGGACCTCGAGGCGGGAACGACCTCGAACGGACTGACCTCGGGGCGTTCAATCGACGACGCCGCGTTTGCCTCCCGAACCCCGCGTTTGGCCTCGCCTCCGCGCGGGTCTATCTGCTGGCGACAGCTGTCGCCAGCCCTCTCACTCGTTCGAGGTTAAACCCCATCGCCTAGGGGTTTTTTTGTAGGCAAGCTCGGCTTCCCCCCTCCTCTCTCTCTGGGGCGGCGAAATTTAACTGCAGAAGCGTTTCATCATCTTCGACCAAGAAATCGCAGTCTAGCAAGCGATTGATTTCTCCTCTCCAGCACTCAGACTCAACTGAGTTTTGAGGGGAGATAAGTAAGAGGGTTTAAGGAGAGAGGAGACGAGAGGAATATAATTTGGGCTTTATATAGGTTGTTTATTTATTCTCAACAGTGAGAATTGAAAGGTTCTATTCCCTTCTGATTATACACTGTATAGCTACAGTGTTATTTCTGAAGAGATCTCATTATTTGATCTGCCCTTAAATTGTAATTTTCTTGTTAGATATCAAGCAAATTTCTGTGTGGGGCCTCTCGAGGACGTAG